ATTTTCAAAATAATTTATACTTATACACACTAAAACATCTCTTTCAGAGCCAGAGGTCATTATTCTTTGTGAGAATAAAAAAAACGGCATTAGCTTCTTTTTAAGAAACAAATACTCTGCATCGCATGCACGTAGGAAGAAGTTGAGGTAAAACCTCATGTATTCTACATTCTCATACCTGAAATACTGCTGGCTAAAAAAAGCCCCATAATGGTAATCAAACTATGTCTCTAATCCTGCAAACATATATGATAGTTACACAGTTTGGGAAGCCATATATTAAGTTTAGTATTTTTCTTTCACCATAAGGTCTTATTTCCTTAACCATAATTTGGAGGCTTCATTAGGACATTTCCACTTTTTGAGTAATGGGCAGTTCCTGGAAACTTATAAAAAATGGATGAAGACTGGGATCCTCTAAGCACAATGTCCTCTCATGTAACGGGGCCACAGAAATCCGTAGTGCTTCCATAGCCTTTGGGCTCAGCTAAGGCTCCATGGCGCCAATTAGAAATTAATTTGATTAGAAAACAACAATTTTTCAAAATTAAAGTGGAATTTTTCCTGCAAACATTTTTGGCACCAGGATAGAGGTAGAAAGTGAAGAAAAAACAGAGATATTTTACAACACTCAATAGTTGGAGGGTAAACCTGGAATCGAGGGGACCCAGCTGAGACTCAGGCTCACACCTGGGATTTAAACCTGGCTCTCCCAAGTCAAGCTTGTGTGCAGGTCAGCAAGCTGTGCTAGTACGAGCCTGTATCCTGTGAGAGCTGTTTCGCTTTGTATTAATAATTCAATATTTGCAGGGAAGTGGAGAAGAGAGAGAGACTAATCCTACAGTCTAGTGGTCAAACACCCACCTGGGATACTGGGATCCTTCCCTGTCAAAACCACCCAACAAACAGGAGGGTAGGAAGGAGGAACCGGCAATGCCTCTTACAGCTTAGCAATTTTCAGCTGATCAAATTAGATCAAAACAGGAAGGTCACTGCCCGAGCACTGGCTGGGAAGAAAACACTGATTGTGACAACTCAAAGCTAAATGGGGGCTTTAAAGTAATCTCATTAAGTCTTTCCTTCTTTGAAAGATTTTTTTTTAAAAAAAAAAGACATAAATCTGTTCTCAAAACATCCCAGGATCTGGCAATGATGTTAATAAACCCTTTTTAAAAATTATTTTTATGCATTTTAGACAAACCATTGGAAACTACCTGTCATTTAGTTATTTAAAAGGAATTAAGAAGGAATTCCCTTTTCAATGTCTCTTTTTTTCTGGAAAAACAAATGACAATCCTCCTCCATAAAGCTGCTTCCGCATGAGGAGAATGAGAAGAGGAGAAAAGAGGAGGCTAAGGGGAAGTCGTATACAGAAAAGCTTTCTGCAGTACATGGCCACATAGGAGCACATTTTCGAACAGTGGAGGACAGGGAAGACTGTAAGTCAAAATGTCAGGCTGCTGCTGGGACAGGGCATTAACATACTTTCATTATTTGCTCTGTGACGGAACCCTTCATCAAACTCAGTGGAAGGAGTTTGCACTCACCTGGAGAAGGCAACCCCGCACTGTGTTAAGAAACTTGTGGACATAGTGAATTTATAAAACACTGAAGAACAGTTGTCCTTTCAGAGAACGACTTCCTTGCAAGGTGGTCCGGTCCCTGCCACCGGGCCGCAGAGCCTCCCCGGCCGTGCTGCCAGCCCGCCGGCCCCCTCAGCCCCCGCTGCCCCCGCAGCTACCGCTCGGCGCCATGAAGGGCCTTCCTCCCCTCAGGCGGGCGGGAGACAGGCCGGAGCTTTCAGCAAAGCCCTTCAGCAAGCAGAGCGCGGGGCTGGCCTGCAGCCTTATTTTGGGGTGCAAAGTGCTGACTTTTGTGTTTTGAGCCGCAGTGGCTTACCTCCAGCTTTCTGCTGGCTGCATCCTCGCATGGGCTGTGGAGCTCCAGCGAGGCGTGGGGCTCCGTCAGTTCCCAGGGGAGCGCAGGGGAACGTGGAGGACAGAGGACAGAGCACCTTTCAGTACGCGACACCAAGGGAGGAACGTGTCCCTGCTGATGATGGTGGACCCTAAGCACAGCAGCTTCTGCTTTTCACTCTCTGAAGCAAAAACACCCTTTCAGACAGAGCAACCCCTACAGGAGCAGGCAATGCTACTGTACATAGGGAGAGTTTCCTATGATTTATGTGTAAAGAGAAAAGAGATAAGTAAGCCCAGACTGATCTAAAATCCAGTCTAATCCAGTGCTCCAAAGATACTCCCCTGCGAGTGATTCCTCACAAGCTGGGTGATGCTGAGGATCAACCAGCTTTGGACCCAGGTACCTTTCAGACCTCCCCAGCAGACCTGACCGAGGGGGCTCCGTGCCGAGACCCCCCCCGGGGCTGAGGGCAGCTCCCACCGCACCCGCAGCCATCCGGTACCCCCAGCACCACGTCCCACCAGGCACAGATGCCACGCTGACCGCTCCTCTGCCCCACACCAGTGCCATTTCTCATCCAGAAAAGAACTAAAATCTGTGCAACTGGAAAAAGACCAGAAAGCGAGATACAGCTTTTGGCTGTGCCCCGTATCGGCTCTAGGTTTGTACACTGGAGAATGTGACAAACCAGCCGTGCTTTGGCAAAACTCACAGAAAATGGACCAGGCTTATAGCTCCTATAACAGCGCCGACTTTCACTTAAAAAATTAATTATCTCTTGAGAGGAATTATTTGAAAAAAACAACAAAAACTCACTGACTCTATCAGATAATAAAATAGAACAAGAAGTTTAAGCAGATCAGAATAGAAAACCAATACTTGACACTATGAAGCGACTTTCATGCCAGGGCCACAGAGCACTTCCCGACAAGCCTGTAAGGCATGTAAGCGGTGTTACTGCCATTTCACAGACAGGAGAAATAAAGCAGGGAAAGGTCAAGTGTCTGGCTGCAGGCCATGTGGCTCAGCCCCGGCACAGTCGGGGACAGACCTCAGCAGTATGGCCACCCTGCCCCTTGCTCTGGCTAGACCACACACTCTCCCTTTTTTTGCTTTTGTCTTCTTGTAAGCACGCTAGCTCTCTTGATTTAAAATTGCTTTCCTGCTTTCGTAAATTCATATTCTACTACACCCCGATCGCTGAGCAGAAAGTATTGCAATGTGTTGCAGAGCCTATTGGCTCTGTGGCTTTCTTCTGCGCAATGAGTTGTGGGATTGAGACCTAGTGATGTCAATTATCGGCAAGAAATCTTTCTATATTTGTCTGCAACAATATGCTCTTTCTTTATTATGCTCTCATAATAAATTGACAGGACTTCCAGTGGTTTTCATATTTTTTAAATAACCAGATTTGCGTCATAGGCAATGGTACATCCTAAAATGACATTTTCTATCTCCTCTGATACATGTAAAACTTCAGGAAAAAAACCCCACGTCTTTATACTTACACACACACACACATATATAAAAAATAAAAGAAACAAAGAACTTTTCCTCAGGTCCTACAGAATTATAAACCACAAAAATGCTGGTACATCCTCCCTTATAGCTGAGTATCCAGGTGCCACTGTAATTTACGCTACATACATGTTTTAAATTTGTGACATGAGAGACACACTTTTCATAATGCAGTCATTTTATAGATTTTATTAGACAGACTTATGGTAGGAAGGAATATTCTGAAATTGCAGCTTAAATGAGAAAATGTGAATGGTGTTACTTATATAAAATACTACTGCAATAGTTCTTTTATTAATTTTTAATGCACAGCACCCACTGTGACCTCCTTTATTCTTTTCCTGTCAACATGGCAGGCTAGAGAAATTGAAATGGGCTGTAGCTGTTCTCTTCTTGTTCCCCTCTTCCTCCCATTTTGCATAATATTAAAATATAACATCTTATTGGACTGTCACTGTGAAATAATCATTATGCAATAGGCATACTGATTTTTTCTGATTGTTATCTCTTCCTTGCTTTTCAGCATTCTCTAAAAAATTCCAAATTCCATGTAGTTATCTAAGGCAATAAGGCAATTTTCCACTGAATACACTCGTCTGAATTAAAGTTTGTTTAAAAGGTATCTTTTGCTACATTTCTTACGGTTCTCTAAGGATAACACCCGTCACATAAAATAAAGTATTTTTTGCCTGCCTGGTCTCCTCTGATTACGTTTTAGGGGTGAGGTAGGAGGCGGGTCCGATAAAATAGTGTTTGACTCAATCAGGACGACGCTATTACTTCTGTTATGTATATTTACTGCTACCTCTATCACCAAGGAGACTAATCTCCATACCAGTAAAGTCAAGAAGCTCACAGTATTGTCTTTGCAGGGCCAAGTTCATGTTGTCACAGCAACAGAGTGCACAGGGTCAATAGATTAATACATTAGTGTGCACAGGCACTGAACCGGAGTGTAAAAGTTTTGCTGCTGGCTTTAAAATTAAACTGTGAAGCAGGACTTGGAAATACGGCCTACACAAGATATTCTTGTATATCTCAAGGAATAGGCCACAAAAATATGCATATATTTGCCTAATACAGGCTATCATTTTTACTACAGTGGGAAGAGGAGAAAATAACCTCCTTGGAAGAGGTGCACTCGGTGGGAAGGAGGGAGGAAGGCTGGAGTTCAAGCTATGAAACATACACTGCATTTGGATTGTTGATATTTCCCCCTGCGATGCCCTTTCATTAGCCTCTGTCTAACGTGGGGCCTGACAATTGTGACAGAATGAAAAATTTGAGGAAAAGCGAGGGTCACGAGAGAAGAGATTTCCTTCGCTCTCCAGTGACCCTATCACAGTATTCTGATGCAGCACTTTACCATTAAGGAAAGGGCAACCCAAGAGCCTTCACACTTAATCTGTTCCATCTGTCATGACTATTAGAAACATTGACCAGCAGTGAGCTTTAAGGACTCGGTGAGACTGCAGACATGATATTCTAGCCCACTACAAGGACCTCCTGATGTTTTGAAAGCCTCCAAGGAAGTACTACGCATCAAAAAGGGCAACACCTACCTGACATGCCACCATATGTGGTCCTCAGTCCTCCACCAACTGCTGGCCAAGGTGTGCTGTCTGCTTTCAGTCCCATTAGTCCTGACACAGTGTTGGTGGCTGTAACACCATCTGCGCCACCTGTGAAAGAAAAGGTCAGTCACTTTTTGTTAAATCATGTGTATAAGAACAAGGGAGGAAAAAATACAACAGAAAAACTGTGAAACTGTGAAATAACTAAAAATTCAAATAAACAGCTGAAGACAGAAAGCAACAAACTGTAAGGGGATGCACAGGAGGGTCCATAAGACCAATCCTGGGCTGATAAATTTAGCTCTAGCTTCAAGGCAAGCTGCATCAGTTGAAAGAGCTGTAAGGGCTACAAGACAGCACACATGGGAATCACTGGGGCTGACAGGCAGATCTCTGCCCTTCAGCTGTGTGGGACGCAACCTGCTACAGTGGTTGTTCAGCACCAGGAGGTGCCCCAGCACAGGGGTCACCTCCTCCAAGCTCATGACACCAACCCTGCACTGATGGAGCCAGCCCATATTCTCGTTTCTCACTGTGAGGAGCAAAAAGAAATGAACAATGTGACAGAGAAATGATGACCACCGTTTTAAGTGATGGATTAATACACCTACTTGCAAACTAATTTCCTGCCATGTTGTACTTTAAGCTCTAAGGAAAAAAATGAATACATATATCCCTTCAAAAGGTGTTTCTGTTTTCTCAGGATGCACATGTCATTTTCACTACTAAACGTAGGAATAGGGGAATTTACAGTGGTGTGATAAACGTATAAATACGACAGAAATAGAAGCGTGCAGACAAACACACACGAACATATGATTTATTGTTAACAGCCTAATATCGTTCTCTTAATATATTGCTATATTCTAGAAGCATGGACAAAATTAGGAAGCCTTAGATCACTGTGATTATTATAAATACAACAAATAAACTATTTTCACATTAGTTTCTGTTGTTATTTGTTATTATTCCAGCAATTCCCCTATCTTCCCCCATCCAGCAAATTAGTAAATCTGCACAGCTTGTGCACTGGAGTCTGTTACCTTCCTGTGCAGCCATCGCAATATTCACAATATCAGTGACATTTGGGGTCAGCTTGGCAAAGAAAGGAATCCGAACAGCTTGTCTAACCCAGCGACAGATGTTCCGTACCAGCTCTGGATCCTGTTCAAATAGGTCAGATAAATATAGAACATAATTAAAAGTAATATGAACAAAAGGTATATCAAGGAAAACTTTGCTATAAGTGGCTATAGCGCAATTTTGTGAAATTACACATCAAGACTGAACCTCATCTCATTAGTTAACTTATTTCAGACACATCGTGTAACTGCAAATCCATTACACAATGGTTAGCTCATGAGAAAGGGAAAATTTCCTTCTTTTTTTTTTTTTTTTTTTTCCAAAAGACAAAGATATCACAAAATGTTCCCTTTCCAGAGAGGGGAAAATATCATCTTGGATGACAGAGACTTTCTTTACCCATTTATTTAAAAAATTAATTTCAGTTTTAATGACTCACTCTATGTAAGGTGTATTGAAAATAACCAGTATCCTATAAAATAATGTGATCCTGAAAAATTGGCTGATCAGAACAATGAGGATGAGTCGAGGTTGCAGGGCTGTAAGGATGCAATTCACCATTTCTGAACTCTCCTCTGACTTCAGAGAATAACTTGGGATGGCCATAGTATAAATGAAAGATCAAAATCTTGTCTGTTAAAGCCAGAAATTGAAATCTTCAAGTGTTGGCTTTTCATGATTTCCAGGCATTTACTTCCCTTATGGAATACGTTTTGCGTAGACAGTAATCAACCATCCTTTCCATTGAAAACAGCTCAGTGGAACTCACATTCTGCGTCTGGCACATATAATGGTTATTGTTCAATATAATTCTTAGGGTATGGTTTGTTGTTTTTTTTCTGTTGGCTATTGATAATGCTCTTCAACAAATACCTTATAATTTGAAATACTGATGCATGTAAAACACGGTGCATGATCTGGTTAAAAATTGAATGGTGCTATTAGATTTAGTATAGGTATAACCTGTTTGTAGGCTGATTGGTACCACAACAATTATTTATATTTACTAAATCTTTATCACTCTCTCAGATAATTAAGTTTGTCATATATGAATAACTTTCTCCCATTTGGATATTGTAAAAACTCAGAAAGCTGCATTGCTATGTGGTAACTGAAAATGGGATGAGCCTAAATGAAGTTTAGTTTAAAACAATCCAGTGGACACCAAGGTTGTCAGTCTAGTGAACACACAGGAAATATCACCTTGTTCTTTTTTCTTTTTACACCAATGATTAAATACAAACAAACAAACAAAAAACCCCAGGCTGTGCTCCTGGAAAGTACACAGTGCTTGACATGAATAGTGAAATCCCGAGACTTAGCTGTGCCATTCCAATAAAAATGGTGATCTCCCCGCCCATGCAGCTCCCATGAAATATGTATGAACGCTGCGCTGGCAGTATGAAAGCAGTGGCATCTTTGACTTTCATTTCTGCTTTGAATTTCCTTGAGGCCCAACAAAGAAATGAGAGACCCTCTAGAAGACATGAATTCTATATCCTTTATGTTAATTCTTCTTAGAAATACTTGTAATAATGCTCAGGATGTTGGCACCACATAACTCATTATGCTCTGTCTTGCTTACAGTGCTGCCATAAAAATTCTTACTCCGAAACACACTAACACTTTACTAAATGCTATTATTTTAATCCACATTGAATAACTTATTGAGACACCTCTTTCATTCATATAAATCTGATTTCCATCCTACCTAAGACAATTTAACTAGTTTGTCTTTCTTAAGAAATACTGATTTGACCTTTTCTTTTTCCCAAAAGTAAGTAAAGACCTTCATTTTCCATCTGTTCTGCTCCTCTCACACCAAGATGAATGCAATGAATGCAATGGAAGGTTCTCCAGTTTCTCAAGCCAGTAAACAGTTTGAATATCTGATTGCACAGGACATGTTTAGACAAAGTCCTTTTGAAAGGTTCACTTTTATCAGTCTTGGAAACCTGCCCATTTTCAGTACCCATAAAAGCACAGGTAACCTACTAGGAAAATAATTTGAAAACTCAACTAAAGGAGGTGAAATCTTTGATTTCACTTCACTTAATATTCCAAGGAAAAAATAGTACTGTTTAGTCAGGAAACGTGGAAAAAATTTGAAAAAATTTAACACAGTGCTTTGCTGCATAGTGAGACAGTGACTGATAGGAATTGGAAAAGTGTTGAATTTTACATAAAAAATTTAGAATGTCCACTAAATTTGACATTTTTGTATTGAAAAGTATTTCTAAACACAGCCCCCATAATCTTTTATCTAATTCATTTGCTCATTAAATAAATATCATATAATGTTGGATACCTTAAAAGAAATTACTGTTTACCCTTTGCCACCCCCAAAACACATGCACGTGTGATAGATCTCGCTGCTTCCCTTTTCAGTGCGAGTCCTACAATGGAGCTGTACTGGAGCATCCAGCTCACCCCCCCTCCCGCCCTCCTACTTCACCTCCTCCCTTTGTTCTACCTTCAGCCTCCTCCTGCTCAAACTCCTCCTGGTGCATCAGCCAACATGAGGCCACTTGAGCCTGTCCTCTCTCCCCCCTTGCTGTAGTGGCATCGCAAGTGTTCAGTGGCCACAGCCATTACGTGCCTGAGCTTCCCTGTTGCCAGAGCAATTTCAATGCCATGAAGCCACCACATGAAAATACCAGAGCTTTTATGCTCTACAGACAACTAACATATTCTCAAAGAGGAATAATATCCCCACCTGCTTTTATCTGTAACATCACATTGTCTTCTGTAGATCATCAAGAAAAAGTTATTGATTTATAAAATTCATAATTTCCTGCTACATTTGCACTGAGGACTTGGAAAAATGCATCATAGGTCATCCAATGGTTGAAATCAGAAGATACTCATGTCACTGGACAGCTAATTTTCATATGAAATGAATGAACTACATTTATACAATCCAGGGGAAGCTCACTGGATAGTGTACAATCTCTCCATAGATGTTTGCCTCTGGACTGAGAACAATTTGCAGAGGTCACACAAGAACACAACTTTTGAGCAAGATTTAAGTGATTAGAAATAGAAAATTCAGGTCTAAGTGCAATCAGTGACTACAGAAATTATCCCAATTTAAAATGCAGTTCAGAACTCAGGATTTCTGAGAATATTAATTTATAATTTTCAGCAAAGTTTTAAACTCAGGTGCAAATCTAACAAGGTGAGCAGCCTGGTGCCAAAAACTAGTTTCAAAGAGGCTATGTACAGGTTTCATTTCAGCCAAATTAATTTTGCTTATTCAGGGCCTCCCATCTACTTGGATTTCTGAAAGACTGACCCCAATTTACAAATTGCATTTACTGATTCTTAGCAGAGATTTGATTTATAAAACATTCAAGGATGAGCATATAACTTGTATGAGAATGAATCTTGAGGTCCGTAAATGGTGTTACAAAAAATACCCATCACTGCTAATACTACATATCTTTTTTTACCCCAATCCAACTTTATGAAAGTGCCTTCAGTTTTTATCATTGATAAAGTGGTTGCTGAAACCTGCACAGTTAAGAAATATTTTCTAAATGGCTTGATATGTAAAATGCTATTAGCTGTAAAAACAGCTGGGCATTTACATTCGCAAAATCAACAATATAAACTAACTAAAATATTATTCCGCTTAACGTAGTACAGGATTTTAATGCTTTTGGTTCAAAGTCTACCATGTTGCTATAAATTATCTTCTTCTATTACACATAACTAGGTTTGTTGGTTCTCTCATTAATGATGATACAGTACGATTGTTACAGAATGTGTAGCATAATTTTGCTCTGTGTGTCAATCCAGAAGAATGAACAAATGCTTCAATGGACTGTAACATTCGTTGGTAGCACACTTCATTTATCTGCTGTATTATTTTTTTTTTTAAACAAACACCATCTAAATAAAAGCTCGGTGAAATTATCATCAGCTAAAACATAATATTGATTCATGCACTGTACCTAAAGGAATCTGTTGGTAATTTAATACCATATAAAGTCTCTTTTGGTATGAGATGTATATCACTGTGTCTTCTCTCTTCCTGTTCTTAATCAAATATTGCTTGTTTATTCCAAAGGCACAGGAGATTTGAATGTTACAGGGGTTGTCTTTCTAGTTCCCTAAGCAGCAGTACAGAATCATTTTTCCTGAATATTCATTATAGCCTTGGGCTAGATGGAGCTTTTAATCCTAACTACTCATTGCCAATGGGTAGATATACTAGAGGAAAAACAACTATTCACCTTTTTTTCTAAATGATCACATGATAAGCTTAACTACAACCATAACTATAAGTCCTCAGAAATTAAAGCAGCAAGTTGTCTACTGATTGCATTTGGCATCGGTAATGAGATGAATCCCATGTCCTATCACCCCCAAGGCAGATACATCCGGCATAAAAAGGAGTGTGAAAATGCTGTGCTTGGAGTAGGTCACCTCTCCTTGTGTTTCATGGAAAGAAACAAAACCATTAGGAGATTACCACAGAAATGTCTGGCTGTAGATTTTTAGAAATTTTGGAAATTTTTACTATGACCTATTTTCAGTGTTCTTGCAGGGTCCTCATTTTTACACTATGCTGTTTCTGCACAATCTTTATACTCTCTGAGGCAGGGAAGTACTACTATACATGTCTAATAAACGGAGAGAGAAGTTGAGTTGCACCTCCTCAAATTCACCTTGTTTTGGTGCCCAGTTTTTACCAAGTCATTTGCATAAGGGTCTGAAAAGTTTTGGCAGAAAACTGCACTTGATTCTTCAGAATACCTTAAACCGTGAGTCCAAACAGTCCTTGGGAAGCACATATGTGTAAGTGTATGTACATATGTACATGTGCGTATATAAAGAATGCAAATGTCAGTCTGAAAAGATGTCATAAAAATAAACCTGTTACAGAATTTCCCCCAAGAACTTCAGAAGGAAGTTTACCACTCAGTAGAACACATTAGCTGATCTTGTCTAATTAGCGCTAGAGAAAATGGACCACGCCACGCAATCTTCAGTCCATCCCTAACTACTATAATGGTGGCAGTTCTGTCTCACTAAACAGGATAAGGACCTCTGCAGTTGTGGAAAGTATGAAAATA